GCCCTATTGGTTCCTAATCTCGGTTATGTTTTTGTTTTTTGCTAAATGTGTACATGCTTTTGAAACAAAGAAAAAAAATTTCTTTAATAAAAAATTATGTTAGCAGCCACGATGTTCTCTCAGAATAAGTGTTCGTAGGTTATCGCACACAAGGAATTGAATGGTGAAGGTCACAGGTAACAAAAAGCATTGGTATTCCCAAAAAAACAAAATGTTGGGTGTGCACTTACTTTTGAAACACACTGTATAAGATAGCAACCGTGGTACCATGTCTCTGATTGGGATAAAAGCAGCTTTTTACTGTTATCGGTTTGAGTGTAATCTACCCTGGTTCTGACGGTGTTTAGCAGCTTTCGTAGCTTGATGCGAAGTCCTTGATGATCAAACGATTGGGTCACAACTCATTATTCCCGTAGCGTAGCACGTCTGGCGAGCAACGTTTCGGTTCACCGCATTGAGAATTTGCTGCGAACTGGAAAGCCGCATGCTACACCTTCATCCTCAAATTCAGAACGACGTGCGATTGTAATATGACAATGTTGAAGAAAGTGTGTGACAATTAGAAATACGACTAAACTCTGTTATACGGTATCTACGGCCTAGATCATAACTTCCACACTAGGCTTCACAGTAACACCTCCCACGAGCAACAAGCATTAATTGGTGTTCATGGCATCATTCACAATGCAGCGACTTCAGCTCTTCCCTCTGAGTAAGAAGGTGACTCTATACCCACTTCTGAGATGGCTAGAGCGCTACAGGAAATCGGTATAGACAACTTGACGAAATGAAGTTCACGCACACCCTTTGATGCCCCGTTTATATCAATGATAGCAAAGAGCCGAGTTTCTAGCTAGTGCCAATATTTTGATTTTGCAGTCCAAGCTTCAGCCCAGCAATTTATTTTTGGATTAGCACAGTCCTACACAAACGAATGTGCTAAATGCCTGATTGTATCGAAAGAATTCACTCAGCATGTGATTCATGTAGGCTACGGTTTCCTTTGCCCTCTTACTGAACGATTTAGTCAGGAGAAGATATTCAATGTGGGTAGTGGTAGCGGCCAACTGTGTAGAGCCAACTTTTTATGGGTTGGGACTAGTACACAGAGTAAACAGTTCTGAGTTTGCAAGGGTAGAACCCAATCATTTACAAGCATTGAGAAGGAGACAAACCCGCGCTATCGATCATCGCCTGTATATGAACAATTCGTCGACAGCCTGCATTCTTCTTCGTAATGAATTTGGGAGCAGAGCCCATAGTTCCATGCAGATGAGGGGACTTCAACTCAACTGGCCAAGTTCGTTACACTCTGTTGGGCGTTTCAAAAGACGAACGATTGAAGTGCAGCCAAAACGTTTTTTAGAGTGACTTCCTCTAGCCTCTTCGATGCCCCAACTTGCTCTCCGCCCATCACTTACCTCACTCTTCATTCATTGCTGCTTCTGATCAAGTCACGACACCTGGAATCTTTGTAAGACTGTCTCATCCTAGCCTCCCCACAGCACTTATTCCTTTGTTTCTCCAGCTTTTGTTGCAAAGTTGATCAACTTCCACAGTTCACCTCGCTTCACTTTCTCTCTACTGGTTATGGTTCCAATTTCAGGGTCATTTTGATAGAACAATGCTTTCGCGTTTGGTGAGGCTTCAGGTATGTCCAGTAGTGAGTTGGGTATACTTTTTCTGCTTTTCTTCCACTTCTTTTTTTCAGCATTTTTCATGTCCCTTCCCCCTCCACATGCACTCGCATAGCCCCACAGCCCTACATACTAGTGACAGCAATCGCCACCTTCACATGGCACTGATTTCTTCTCTTCGGTAAACTAATTGACCGTGGTAAAGCTAAGAAGGACAGGACCTTCCCCAGGACACATAGCTATCACTGTCTAGAATCCGAGGTTTAACTCTTTCCTTGCATTACTTAGGCCACTCAGCTAAAGGAGGTAGTTATTAACCATTCTAAACGTATTCAGCACCGAGAAGATGGTTCGACTGAATTCGCGCTCATTTCTTGACTCAAAGCAGCTCGCTTATTTTCGACGCCAACTGTACGCCTATGTGGTGAAGAAGCTGGAGGAAGACGAGTGATATTTTTCGGAGCAACCTGGGTGGCAGTATGCCTGAAGATCTTCCTTGAATGTCTACTGCTGGCTAGATCATTCAAGAAGAGCGCAAAAGTAACCGTGAGTGACATGGATCAGACGCAGAGTGAATTCAAAAAGAAGCCGTAGAGTATTCCTCGAACTCCCACTGCAAGCGCCAGTGGTTCCGTGGGGCCACCGTATCCCTCCACAGGGAATCCTAGGCTTTCCCTGCGTATCCGGTGATTGGGTGCAGCGACGCGATGCGATTATCGGGGAGAATAACACCCGCGAGGCAATCTCTAAACTCTTATTACAGGCTAATGCCATTGGCCAGCAGTATGCTTTTCTTTCAACGAGTAAGGCTGCCCTTACGGACAAAACGGTGAAGATGTGGATAGACGGTCGTCCTGTCGAGTCAAAGACTAAGGATTGGATCGATCTTACCAACCCTGTGAGTTTGACGTCAGCAACCTACGGCTCTTGTTCAGTTTCACAATTGACCAACCGTATCCTCTTATGTCTGTCAGCCTAGGTTTTGATGTTGGCTTTCGTTTTTGTTTTCTTTCCTTCTTTGCTTCGTTACCTTGGATCGATTGCATCACATTTCATCCTTTCCTCTCTCCTTCTGCAACCAATTTGCCCACAAACTTTAATGTCAACTACTCTGCTCATTAGCTGAAAATTATCCTGAGCAGGTTCTATTTCGTTTGGAATTCAGATGTCATCATAAGAAGCATCAGTTCTTATTTGAAAAGCATGCAATTCTCTTGAATCTTCTCTACTTCAATCTCCCACCCCGCTTCCTTTCCAGTGCCACTTGGCGACTAGCAAGTAAATCACCGTATTCAGGCTACAAATGAAGTCATTGCCAAAGTACCCAAGTGCACAAAGTCGGAGATGGAGACAGCCGTTGAGTCCTGTAAGAAAGCTTACAGTTCGTGGAAAAAAACGTATGTTATCTACTTAGGTGATCATGAACGTGATGTGTTCCATTGACGTCACTCATCCCTTCCTTCCAGTTCTCCTATGGCGCGTCAACAGACTCTGTTCCGCCTTGCAGAGCTCATCAGACGTGATCAGAAGAAACTCGCAGAGAACATTATACAGGAGCAAGGAAAGAATATGTCTGATTCTGAAAGAGACGTTGCCAGAGGTATTCAGGTTAGTGTGAATCCTATTCAATGAGCGCAGAAAATGACTCGGTAATCATCTTTCAGACCGTTGAACATGCCTGCTCAGTGCCATCACTCATGATGGGAGAGACTCTTCCTAAGTGAGTTTATCCCAACGTCTTCTTAGTCTCCCTTTCTTTCTGAATTTTATTTGCAGTGTATCACGCGATATGGATGTATACTCGATACGCGTTCCATTGGGAGTCACTGCTGGTATTTGCCCATTCAACTTCCCAGTTATGGTCACGTTGTGGATGTTCCCTCTTGCACTTGCCACTGGAAACACCATGGTGATAAAGCCATCAGAGCAAGATCCTGGAGGAACCATGATGCTCATGGAACTAGCCAAGGTGAGCTCCACTACGACATCCGAATATTCCTGATAGCCAATCACGGGCATGTTTTCCAGGAAGCTGGTATTCCTGACGGCTGCGTCAACGTGATCCATGGTATGCATGACACTGTGAACTTTATATGTGACCATCCTGATATTCAGGCAATCTCCTTTGTTGGAGGAGATAATGCGGTGAGTTCAGTTACCTCATGCAGCGCTGTTGCCTGGAACGTGGTAATGAAGGAAGCTCGTTTTGCATTTTCTACGAACATGCCTACAGGTGTCAAGTCTATGAAAGATAACACGACAGTATACATTATGTTGCTCATCTCATTCTTTTTAGGGCAAATACATCTATGAACGTGGAGCTCGCGGCGGAAAGCGTGTCCAGGCGAATATGGGAGCGAAGTGCCACGGAGTGATCATGCCAGACTGCAACAAAGAACAGACACTTAACCAGGTATCAATCAGAGTTCTTTGGTTTCCTGGAGTTACCATGCAGCTAGCATGGAAAGCGAAGAACACTCTCGTTGGTGAAATACGGTGGAGAGGAATGAATCCAAAACGGGTAGTTCTGTGTAGTGTGGAAAGTTGACTTCTTGACCTTTAGGTGATTTCTGGCTGTTTCGGAATGGCAGGACAACGTTGCATGGCTCTTTCAACAGCGATTCTCGTCGGCGAGGCCCGTTCATGGTTACCTGAGATTGTTGAGAGAGCCAAGAAGCTCGTCGTGAATGCAGGTACGACCTACATGACATTTATCGGCACATGTGGTTTCCTAATCTCTGTCACTGAAACGCCAAAAGCTCCGTGGGGCATCAAGCAAAAGGCAACAGGATGTAGCAAATGGGATCAACTCTCCCAGTAATCTTAAACACGCGGAATGTCCATTACCTTGCATTTTTCATTATTTTTCTGATTGTAAATAATTGACACAATAGTTTGTCTTCAGGATGGAAGCCGGACTGCGATATCGGCCCAATGATATCGAAGGCCGCNGTGGTAATGAAGGAAGCTCGTTTTGCATTTTCTACGAATATGCCTACAGGTGTCAAGTCTATGAAAGATCACACGACAGTATACAGTATGTTGCTCATCTCATTCTTTTTAGGGCAAATACATCTATGAACGTGGAGCTCGCGGCGGAAAGCGTGTCCAGGCGAATAT